GAGAGTGTCCCAGGTGGGGCACTGTGCCCTGCTGCACCCCCCTCCAGCCGGCAGGGAGAACAGAAGGGCTACAGGCCGAACCTCTAAAACCCAGGACTCTGGTCCAGCAACTTCTGTGTCCCAGCAGGACATCCACGGGTATTGCCGGACCAGAGAGCCACGGCTGGCCAGGTTCAGAAACTCAGCCCAGGCCAGGCTGACGGTGGGGAGCGCTGGAGGCAGGGAGCAGCTGGGGGCTGGAGGCAGCGGGGCCAGCAGCGAGGAGTGCAGCCGTGGCTGGGCCGTGACCTCCCCTGCTTGGGAGGTCCCGCCTGTATCAGTCGACAGGGACACAGCATAGAACAGACTGGTCAGCACAGGACCCAGAAGCAGCCAGTACAGCCCAGCCTGGGGAGAAGGCCCAGGCCCTGACCCCCTCTCTGCTCTCGCAACCTGGGCCACGCCCCTCAGCCCTACCCCTGCTTCTTTGGCAAAAGGCATCACCTGGTGCTGCCCTCCTGGGCTCAGGTTCTGGAACGCACCAGCCCTTGTGTCCCCGGGGGCGGCTGTCACACCAAACTTCCCATCCCCTCCGAGGTACTGGTGCCGTGCCCAGGGAAACTGAGGCACACACATGGGGTTACTATAGGGCAGCAGAAATCACATGGACATCGCAGGGGGACTGAAATCCCCACCCCCACTCCCCCTGGTAGGGCCTTAGGGGCCGCTTGGAAGCACACTGCAGATGCGCGGCTGAGTGCAGGCGCTGGCAGGGCTGTGACGTGGCAGACATTGGCTCCCTCTGCTCTCCGGAGAGACCTGGCTGCGGGGAGGGGGGGACGCTCTCCTGCCCCAGCGGCTGCTGTGACGTAGTGTGGGTACCTTGCTGGTTGCTATGCTGGGGCTGTGGGTGACCCCCACTGGTTGCTGTCTGTAGCATGGCCCAGCAGGGCAGAGGAGGAATCATTATGCAAAAAGGAGTCTCAACCTGTCTGACCAGCTACCCCCCAGGGAGAGAAACAAAGGAAGGGGGAATGTTGCCCTGGCTGGGGGCCAGGGCTGGAAGAGAGTGAGTTAGTTTCTGTCGGGGGATCATGGAGGAAGCAGCCTAAGCAAGGGGCTGGAATTTAGGGGCCCAGTCTCACCCATCTCAAGGGGGGCTGAGGCATTCTAGGCCTGGCCATGTAACCGGATGACATCTGTGCTGTGCTGTATCCTGGAGAAGCAATAAACACCCTGTATTCTACTGGCTGGTGGAGTCTGTTCGTGCCCTTACAGGGGTGCAGGAAACAGGAAAACCCCAACGCGCCATCACACCCAGTGCCCGCACCTCCTGTCTCAACGCAGTGAGGGTTTGGCTAGACTGCAGGATTTTTTTTCAGCAAACTCGCTCTTTTGGCAGCCCCTGTATTCCTTGTTCCAAAAGAAGGGGGTTTCCCGACATTTGGCCCAGTCTAGACAGGCCAAATGTTGGAAAAATTTCTTCTTTCTTTTTTTCACTGCCGAAAAAAAGCGGCAGTGTAGCAGTACCCTGAGAGTGTATAAAGGCCAGGGATAGCAACTGATGGAGAGAAGGGGAACAGAGAGAGTGGGGCCTCAAGGAAGGGGTGGTGTTTTGGGGAAGAGATGGGGTAGATCTTGGGTTGTCCTGACATTCAAAAAGTGATCTTGGGTGTGTAAAGGTTGAAGATCACTGATTTAAGAGATGCTAATCCTGCTGATGGGAGAGGTCATCAAAGAGCATGCTAAGAATTGTGCAGAAATAATTACTGAGGACTAAGATACCCAAGGGGATGTCAGTTTGTTTAATGTATGAGTACTCTTACAGAAACAGGTGACATATTTTAAAGAGGTCACTTGCTACTTAAATCCTCAAAGACAGATGGTGTAATTCATAGTCTTGAAAAATATGGAGGTCTAGGCCATAACAGAAAGTGTGTGTGTGTGTGTGTGTGTGTGTGTGTGTGTGTGTGTGTGTGTGTGTGTGTGTGTGTGTCCACATACTTTGCTAAATTACACGCTTTCTAGTCATTCTGCATTTAAAAGCCACTTCTAGGGTTGAAGTAGTGGCAGTACCAGTGTGTTTAGTTGCTGCCAAAAGCTCATTATAGTCAGTACATATTACTGGCAATGACTTGGGGTCGACATGTATAAAAGTGTTAAAAGCCGTCTTTTGTATTAAAATGAGATTTGGACCTAAACTGCAAACCTGTTTCCAACTTCTCCTTATGCACTGTGGGAGAGCTTAGAGATTGATCTGGATTGAAATTTAGCCTCCAACTTTTCTTTAAAACTGGCTACTGGTTCTTCCTGTTCTTTAAATTCCCATGAACGCTGAAGTGGACTTCTCCTTATGCACTGTGGGAGAGCTTAGAGATTGATCTGGATTGAAATTTAGCCTCCAACTTTTCTTTAAAACTGGCTACTGGTTCTTCCTGTTCTTTAAATTCCCATGAACGCTGAAGTGGCTGTGCTGCTTATGTTGCGCTGCCATTCTGTTCCATGAAAATACTGGAAGGGCAAACCATTTCAGAAGTTTAATTATAACACAGTTGAGTGGGGAAGTTTTCTGAAGTATAACTTCATATGGAACAGCTTTGTCAGGATAGGTATTGTTATGACATTTTCCTTATAACTATGTTTCAGTTTTATGCTATAAACTCTGTTTTTCAGCAAGCTGCTTTCTGGCTGGTGGTGCTTTCCTCTGATACTGTCTCATCTTTATACTTTAACAGTTGTGCTAGCATTTGAATACACAACGTAGGTTTGAGATTTTTATTGCTGTCTATCCTAGAAGCAGAGCTTTAAGAAGTAGTTTTGAAATAGCAGTGCCTGGTTTTCTGTGGGTGCCTTTCTGCCTGGCATTTTGCCTTGACTTCATTTATTAATTTCTCAATTCATTAGGTCCCAGACAGGGAAACGTGTCCCATTCTATTGTGCCAACCCACATAACATAATAAGAGCTTTGCCAGGCATGGACAGCGCTATGGCAAAGTATGTTAATGGGCTGAATAGTTGCATTTGAAATCAACCCCTGAGCTGGATGATGCTAAGCTTAACATTTGCAAGTGTGGTCGCTTCAGAGATGGGCAGAGTGCCATACAGTGTAATCCAGAGAGGATGGGTTTTCTCCATCAAGTACTGTAGTATGGGATTGCTCTCCATGTTAAGACCAATTCCTACTCTACTGAAAACAATGTCAAAGTTCCCATTGGGAGATGGATCAGGCCCAGTAAATCACAGTCCATTTGTGGTATTGTTCTAGGTAGACCTAGGCAAAATACTAATTCTTCCTCTGCTACCTTTGTCCCCAAAATAATGTTTACAATTCTAAATTTGAAGAAACTGACTTTGCGTAGACAATGTCCATGACCCTTTACATTAGGACATACAGGAATTCAATAAGCACAGTTTTATTACTAGGAATACTTGTGGAAAGAGAAGGTTCTGGAAATACTTCTGTGAATGTTGTTGCGTGACTGTTTAAGCTAGAAGTGGTACAGTTGCCATCTTGATATTTTTGCATGCTTTTTGAGTCCAAAATCAGGGTGCAGAAA